AACCCCAAACTAACCCTTAACTTAACTTTAATAAAAAATCAAAAATACGTGACTGGACACGGCTTTAGACGTCCCCCTAATTTGGTAAATCGTCGGACTGTAATATGAGTGTCGCTAAAAGAAAACCCGAAAATTCAAATCTAAGTCATATTTAAATTTTCGGGTGTTCTTTTAGCGACACTCATAACTATTCAGCTAGTCGACTAGTCAACTGGTCAATTAGTCGACTAATCGATTAGTCGATTAGTCGACTAATCGATTAGTCGATTAGTTGACTAATCGATTAGTCGATTAGTTGACTAATCGATTAGTCGATTAGTTGAATAATCGATTTTTAGTCAGTCGACGACTTGACGACTAACAGCTTTAGTCGACTGATTAATCGACTAAAAATTTCTAATCCTTATAGTACCCTAGCCATGGCGAAAAAAACGTTACTGTCACGTGACTTTGGCCAATCAGCGAAATCAAAACAATCGAATAAGTATATAAATTAAAGTAATAAATATTATCATTAGAGTTAGAATTAGGTTGAGAATATGGCAGGTATATACCAGAATTTAACAAGGAATTTTTTTTGTTAGTACGCAGAAAGAAAACTAAAAAGAACGTAATTTTTACGTTACACCTGATCTTGTTATCTAATTGGCTAGATTCCGAAAATATCACGTGACAGTAACGTTTTTTTCGCGGGACTGCGGATTTGTAAAATACATAATACAGTATAACCTCGATAAACCGAATCAGCCAATCAGTCACTATAACGAAGAATTTTTCTAACACCTCAGCTCCAGAGATTCGAGGTTAGACTGTACCACTCACTTATATGTTATTGTTTTTACTGTGTTACCGAAACTACCAGAACTCATGTAGTTGACCAATTGCAAAAAAGTTATCTTGACACAAATGAACAGTTATCTTAATTAATAGTAACGATAGTTCTGATTACAATGTAAGACCGAGATCTCATTGACAGTTCGAAATAACGTGATCTGAGCGACGGAGTAAGTAATATTGTAATACAATAAACCCTATTCTTAGCAGTGCAATTAAAGAAGCACCACATTACTCGAACCTGATCTTTCTCAATTTATTTGTCTTCAATATCATAAATAAAAATCAAAAATTTAAATTTCTTCTCTATCTTCAAAGTTTCAACATTCTTTTGTTTTTATTGTATTTTGATATTAAGGTCTCGGATAACAAGCCGGAAGACTAGTTTCACAATACATCCCAATAACTACTATACCCGAACCAAAGTTGGAGGTTTCTGCGCTTTTATCGACGGAACTGTCATCTTTGACAGTTGACACATCTGAACACATGAGTAACGGCGAACTTGGTAAGCTCAAGTTATTTTTTGTTTGCAGTTCTTGCTATAAGATCTAAGTCATGAAAGCTATAGTCTTTCAAAATAACAACCCCATTGACTAATTTTATTACCTTATTTATATATTATTAATTTTATGCATCTTAACTGGAATATCTTGGTCACATATAAACATCAAAATGCACAACACAAATAACTATCACAACGGAATCTTGTAATAACAATACATATGTTTAAGTTGTTGACTCAGGTAAAATCCATGTCTTAAAACAACAAGTTCACAGCCTTCGGCACGATCTTGCCGAAAAAAATGCATTACTCACCACAGTGCAGAAACAACTTAACCGAAATCAACCAAACCAACCAAATGGTATCGTGCAAAGTGAGTCTACCACTGGAAGAGTAATTGAGAATTTACAGGCAGAAATAGATCATCTAAAAAAAGATCTCGCCGATTCAAAAACTCAAATTCACGTTGCCAAAGTTTCTCGTGAAAGAGCCGAAAGGCAAGTACAGGAGCACTTGGCATCACATCAAACTTTACGACTCGAAATTGATTCTTTAAAAAGAATGCTGGAAAGGAAGGAAAGGCAATCCAAGGAACTAGAAGAATCAACAAAGGAAATCGAAAAGAAAAATTCAGATATGAAATTTGAACGGGATAATGCAAATTTAAAACTCCGGCAATCGGAATTAAAAGTATCTGATTTAGAACGAAAATTACAGGAAGCTTTGGCCGGTAAAGAAAAGGCAGAATATGAGTATACTCTTTTATCTAAAGAAATGCAAGCTTTTAAGACTCGGTATACTAAAGACGTTGAGATTGTCAAAAAAGAATTTAAATCTCTTCGTGAAGAAATGAATTCAACATCACGACAATTAGAAGATGTTGTCTTGATGACAAGTGTTCGAATTGAAGAATTAAATTCAGAACGTAAGGAAGAGTTAGGAAATTTGGAATCGATTCATGCCCAATTACAAGAAAATCAAGACAAATATGCCGCAAAATTGTTTAGTGAAATTGAGGCAATGAAAAAGGACGTAGAAACTTCAAGTCAAAAGACTAAGGAGTACAGCGAACAGGTGGCAAAGATTAAAGGTGAAATAGCGGGTAAATTGAACTGGTTGAAACGAATCCAAGGAGTACAACAGAAATCCTGATTAATGATTTATAGGCTACAACTTTAATGTGACCAATAAAATATACGAAATTTGAAACTATTAATTTTAATAGAAAACAAAAATTATCTCAATCAATATTGTTCTTTAATGGACTAGATATATGATTGACTTTTTATGTAGTCTTTCTAAAACAAAATTAAAATTGGTTTTCCCCAGTGGACATTATATATAACTTTCATTTTAATATGAGCTGCAATTATTCATTTGATTTAAAATTGTCTTCTTGTAGATTTTTTGTATTCTTATATAAGCCTATTCATATACTGTACTTTACCTACATGCAATTCATTTATTATTTACCCTGTTCCTTTTTTTTTGTTTTTTTTTGTTTTTTTTTTTTTTAGAAACATGAATCAAATTTTGATCAACGTTTGTTTTTCTACTCTGTCTAATACTATGTGATAAATATGAACTTTATTAATAATTATAAGGAATACTAAAATCCATCTATGGTATACAATAGTACTGCATATAAGTCACCTCCATATATTGCACAATTAATTTGTGATCATAGGGAGAGTATGACCAAGGAGTGAACAAGACGAACAATGAATTTAGTAGCCATATACATTCAATCTCATTGTGTAGAACACTAATTATAAATAATCATTTATTTTAATTTATCCCTTTAAAAATGACATCCACCAGATACACAAAATACATAAATATTATAATACTTTCTTAAAACAAATGTCATTAGGTACTTATTATAAATTGTTAATATAAAGTATCGGCAAATATTGAATTTGCATAGTAATATTCAAAAATTAGGCACTTATGGTATGATCATAATCGATCGTTGGCACGACTGATGACATGAATTTTAAGAATATAATAAGATATCTGAAAACAACAGAGCAATGTTAGTCACCAAAGGACATATAAATCAATTTTTTATTTTATTTTAAAATACTTACTGATCAACTCTCACTTGTGCTTGCTCTACCTGCGGTGCGTTAGACCCTGCAGCATTACCAAATTGCTGTTGGAATAATTCGAATTTTTTTACGCTTTCTTCATTCATCTTTTCGATAATTTTTTTCATAACTTGAGCATGACGACATGGATGAATGCTAGCCAAGGACATATTCAAATGTGGATGTGTTTCAATGGTCACGGTTTTTTTAGCATAGTCTTGAGAAATATCTTCAAAAGTTTGGATCGAAGTCAGTGGTCGTCGATGCTAATGTCATTTCAAATAAACATATGTAATAATCCGAATTCACGATATAAACAGAGTAATTGTCTTTAAATAATTTACCTCATCATAGCCAAATAGCCACATGCGGGGTGTTTGATAATATTTATCATACGTAATAAATACATCGTATGTTCGCACTTGAAGAATTTTGTCACTATTGTTGAATTAAGAAATTATCCCGATGTAAGCCAAACAAGTTGAGGAACTTATAAAAACAATTAAGTCTATGCATACCTCGGTCCATCGTCATGTGACGATGTTCCCATGTTGCTAGCTTCAGCTAACGTTGCCTAATTATCCATTTATGATTAGATATATAACGAAATTTTGTAATAACTGAAATGGTATACTGTCGCGTACTGGATCTTCTTCTTCAGCAACATCATCACCAACATCATCCATGTCTGGAATATCGTTGATATCAGGAACGTCAACTTCTTCCTTATCATTCGCATCATCTAATACAACGTTACTTATTTTTTTACAAATTTCATCTTCATCTCCTTCGATTTGTTGTGCGATTTCTTCGATATTTGTTGTTGCTTTTAAAAAAATCATGATTCAATATAAAAATCTTTATAAAATAAATTACAGATAATAAATGTAACTTATGGACAATTTACCGCGACCACTATGAGTGGCAACCCATGTATCTTCACCATTCTCTGTTTCGATTTGGGTTTCTGCATCTTCATCTGTATATTCCATCTGCTTTACGCGTCTTAAGCAAGGAACTTTTTTGTGAAAAGTAGAATCAATTCAATGTTTCGTATTAATAATTGTAAGTTAATTAAAGAATATCATACCATTTTTTGTAATAAGAAATTGCTTTTCGACTGGAAGATAATCTCGTCTTTTGCTCACTTCACCACTTGCCCTTAAAAATAAATTATTACATTAGATGAGTATATTTATAATCAACTTTCTAAGTGCAAATAAGTTAAATACCAGCTCCAAGTCGGACATTTGTAGACCAAAAAGTCACCAGCGGCTTCAAACTAAATTTATTTTTTTAAAAAAACCAAATACTATTTAAAATACATAGTAAAGTAGTTGCGATCACTCTTGCGAAGGTCATTCTATGATAAAGAAAATATCATTTTTGCTTCAAACCTCTTCAGGTGTAATGCAACCAGTTTCTTTGAACTTGGAATTTTTAAGTACGGGACTGAGATATTCTCGAATTCCAAAAAAAAGTGACTGAACTGAATTCATGATTTCTGGTTTTAACGTTAATACAGTAGAGAATCCACGTATTTTTTATATTTATCCTGTTTAATAACGTTCCGGGGTCATGTGGATACTCCGAATAAACATATGGGGTGTTATCTATTAAAACAGCCCTTTTTTACATAAATTTTATTTTGAGATAATTGAGTTTAATCATTT